CTGCTGATATCTATCACTGTGTATTGGCATAAGATCTCAGAAATGCTAAAACTCAGAACCTAGAAAGTTACGAATTGAACTATATCAAGCTTCCTGTGGTGGACAGGGGTGGGGGAGAACCTTGCAACAGAAGGTGGTCTGAACCTTGAGATGCGGTATTTCCTAACAACACTGTGAAATTTGGGGCCCGGGGGAGGGGGGGGTAGTCTCTAAAGTGAGAGACCATAGGAACTGCAAGTGCCTCTGAAAACAAGGCTTTTTTTTTTTTAATTCAAGTACCTAAAAAGGATTTCAAACCTCTGCTGTGGGTACCCCAGATTGAAAATCTGGGTGTTGGTGCCCTAATCATAGCATGAGAGAGAAGATGGGCTGGAAGGGACCTCCAGAGGTCATCTGTCCGGTGGTTCTCGACTTTATTGTACCAGGACCCATTTGTAAACATCAATGGCCAGTCCCGACCCAGTGCCCCTCACTCCTGACACACTGCCCTCTGCCCCCAGCCCCCAGTATGTGGGGCAGGGGGTGGGTATGTGCAGGGCTTGGGGGGCTCCCAAGCAACCCTGTGCAGACTAGAACTCTGCCAGCTTGCAAAGGAAAAGCTACAGTTTCCCACATTTTTCTCCTTTAAAGGAGAATCCATTTTTAGAGTTTGTTCACAATCCTTTCATATACTCCTGAGACCCACTTTTGGGTCGTGACCCATGGGCTGAGAAATGCTGATCTAGTCCAGCGTTTCTCAACCAGCGTGCTGTGGCACAATGGTGCACCATCAGAAATGAACAGGTCTGCCGTGGAATTTTGGGGGGAAAAAAATCACACATTAGAAAAATAAATGAATAAATGAAATGTATCTTTTATATAAATTAGTTTTGTGGACAGAACTGTATATTGTGTATTAATGTTGTGCTATGGACAGAACTGTGTATTAGTGTATTATGCTGTGCTTCCTTTCTGGTGTATGGATGTGAGATGGTATGTCATGCTACACTCTAATGACTTTGTATGTGGTTAAAAAAAAAGAAATCGTGGGGGGTTGTGCGCTACAGAAAAAAAATATTAATGTAAGTGTGCCTTGGGCTGGAAAAGGTTAGGAAACATCGATCTAGTCCAGGATCAGCCCTCTCCAAACCATCCCATTCAAACCATAATTTACAACTCTTTAGTAAGACTGCCCTCAACCCTGCCCCAGCACAGACCTAACACCCTGACCACCACAGGTTCCTGTGTTGATCCTCCAACAGCGAGGTTCTCTACCTTGAGCCTTTCCACCTTGGAGAACACATAACACCAGCAGAGTCTCCCTATGCCTGACAAAGGGTGTTTGTGTCTGAAAGCTTGCAAAGAACTTTTTTCCCAACCTTTCAGTTATCTAATAAAAGATATCACATTTCGCCAAAGAACCTTGCCTGCCTATGCCCGTTGCTACAACCAACAACCCTCCAACAGTGAGTAGGTAGTTTATTTTCTGCCTATGGGGACTTTTTACCATCTTTAATTTTCCCTGAGCCTGAGGAAGGGTGTGTGCGCCTGAAAGCTTGAAAAAAAAGATTTTTTTTTTTTGCAATTTCTTAGTTGGTCTAATAAAAGGTATCTTTTTTTGTTTGTTTTGCAAAAATATTTATTTCTGTATACAGGTTTCCCTTGCTTTATGCAGGTTCTGTATGTGCGAATTTGCTGTTATGCGATGACCCTTTTTATACCAAAACTTTGTTATATGCAAGGTAAATTCACTCTTAGCGATCGGTGTGGTGGAAACCTGCAGTCAACTGCTTTGTGCGGTGCATTGTGGGAGTGACACGCAGCACACCAAAATATAGTTTCCTGTGTGAGTCTGTGCTCCTTGCTCGTTGTCTTATGACACGTGTTTCTGTAGTTGCCATCCCCATTACGATAGTGCCCTGTGCTTATGTGTACTGTCTGCTGTTGGCGAGTACCAAAATAGTCTTGTAAAAGTGGTAGAAATGGGTCTGAGGGTCAGTACAGTCAAGGTCTTGGAACAGATCCCTATTTGTTACATTGTAAAGTGGGTTCCCTTTATGCGAATTTGAGTGATACACCGTTTTCCAGGAACACATATACAGCATAAAGCGAGGGAAACCTGTATATAAATAAATATATGTATGTAACTCCATCTCCAGCACTCTGCCAAGTGGCCCCTGTGGTTCACTTGTCAGCTCAAAGCACGCTAAAAACCCGTTATACAGTTCGCAACGTGCAACCGCGTGCCCATCTCCATACCTGTATCCCCACCCACTGCCCTCCTCAGAGGGTCTACTCCTGAAAAAGTCTATGCCAGACCCCTCTCCACCAGATGAGGTCTGCCGTTTCTTTCCCATTGTCCTCTTCTGTCTTCCTGTCACACCAGCTCCTATCATCTCTGAACTAAGAGCTCTAGAGTTTTGAATTTGTCCAGGGCTGGCCAGTCCTATTCTGCAAAACCTGTGGATGCAGGGGACCCCGCAGCCAAGGGGCCCCCTGCATCCAGCCACTTTCACCCCCTCCCTCCCGCTACTGCAGCCAGCTTCTTTAGCTGCTTGCCACCCCCCCTCCAGTGCCCTGCCCCTCCACCGTCCTGCTGCCGGCTTCTTTGCATCGAGCAGCCCCAAAACTATTTCTTGCAGGGGACCCCCCAAAATCGTGGGCCAATCTTGCCTTTGTCCAACAGTGAGGCACTCTGCAAGGGAGCTCGGCCCTGCCACCTTTCTAGGTGAATCATGCCACTCCTTGAAGAGGGGCAAAAGAAAAGCCCAGCTACCAGGCTCCGGGTGGCCTTCTGCAGCAGCAGCCCTCTCCTTGGGGACCCACTGGGGCACCTGAGCACTTCCCGGCTACCCCCTTCCCAAGGCAGCCCAAACCGCCGCCTCCTTTTCCCCTTCCTCTCCTGTGGGGAAATGAAGGCGGAGGCCAGGAGCAGCGCACCCCGCGGGCGCCTCAGGGGCAGGAGGTCACCCAGGCCGGGCGGAGGCCGGGCGGGCGAAGGCCGGGAGGGAAGGGGCCAGGCAGCGGCGGGGGCCTGGCGAGCACCTGGGAGCAGGGGGTGGCGCCGGGCGGGGCGGGAGGAGGCTCCTGCGGGCGCCGCTGCTCGGGGCTGGGCGGGGGGGCGGGGGGGGTGTGGGGGAGCAGCCGCCGCCGCTAGGGGGCAGCCCCAAGCCGGGAAGTTTGGCTTTGAACTTGAGGGCTGCCTGCTGCACCCCCCGCAGTGCTGGGAGCGGCGCGCGGGGCTGGCCATGCTGCCCTTCGGGGACAGGACCAGGTATCTGGCGCGGGCGGGAGAGGGGATGCGCTGGGGCCCGGGAAGAATTGCCCCCTCTCCTCCGCCCCGCTCCTCCCTTGCCCCCCGCTCTGCTCCTCTGCCCCCAGAGCCAGCCTCAAGCCTCCCCCTGGCACCCCAAGCGGGGGCATGGACAGCGCGGGGCCAGGGTAAGCTGGTGCTGGGAGAAAAGCAGCCCTTAGATTGCTCCTTCAGCCACTTCGGAAACGGGGGGTCGGCCAGGAAGGCTGCATTCATAGTAACCCTGGTGCTGGGCTGGTTTCCCTCCGCCACCAGAGAGGCTTGGTGGGCCTCCTGGACGGCTCCCTTTGGGGAAGGGCAGCTGCAGGCAGAATCCAGTTTGGTGCCATTCCCATGGCTAAGTGAAAGGTCCCTGCATTGGAGAGGAGGTGGCCAGAAAAACAGCTCTGGACTGGCGGGGCTTGCCTGGCAGCCGCCCGATGATGCTTTTTATAACAGTGGGAGCATCGCATTGTTTTTCAGGAATGTCCCTCTGACCCGAGCAGAGTTTTTCCTCTTTGGAACTTACTTTTTCCATGGCAGATTGTCCAGGACAGGCAGTCCTGTCTGTTAGTGGTGGTGGAAGAGGCACCTTTTACAAACCATTTGCTAGTCTGCCTGGTTCTTTTCTTCCTATTACGCTTAATAAAGCTGAGCAGTTGGAGAGAAGCAGCACGTTTTGTTAGCTGTTTGGCATTCTGCATTGTGCCACTGTTTTGGATTCCTGGCTCGAGCGAGAGCGCTACGCTGTTCGTTCCACGTTGTGCTTTGTGTTCGTTTTTTAAAAAGTGCACAATTTGTGCTACGGTAATAGTTACCTTGAACGAAAATGCTTGCAGTTTCCACAGTAGGGTTTCCGTTGCTTAACTTTTTACTTGGTCTTCCTTTGACGTTGTTTTTAACCGTTGCTCTAAAAGTCTAACTTAGTACTGCAGTGGTTTGGGTTTATTTCTTTAGGAACATAAGCAGATCTTTAGAGCAATAAACCAAGAAAAAAAAAAAAAGAGAATTAACCAGGTCAGCCAAAGGACCTTCTCTTTAACGCTGCAAATATGAATACAAATGTGCAAAATGGAATTCAGCTGCACCATTTGTTACAGAGTAATGTGATACACTGGGGCTGGGAAGGAATACTAAGGTCATGATCCAAAGCCTACTGAAGTGTCTGTACGCTGACTGCAACGGGCTTTAGATCAGGGTCTAATTTAGCAACCGTGTGTCGCAACATAAAAATTGATTATATGTGATGTTCCTCGCCCGGTTAAACATTCATCCTGCAAGCCCCGCTCCCTGAGTAGCCTTTTTGACTGTGCCCACATGAGTAAGGATTTGTATACATTGTCTCTCATAAACAAAAAGATTAATTTGGGTGGCTTTATCTGAAAGGATTATGTTTATAAATGAGAGTAACAGTTCCATACCTCCGCTCTAAATTATAAGGGATGTTTTTGCCTTGCTTCCTTTTGCATAAATCACTTTGACATGGATGTGTTTCTCTGTGGCTTCAGAAATAAGCACACCTCCTGAAAGGCAGGACTTGAAGAGAAAAGATGTGTGTTTGTTTATTCACAGTTGGTTCTACTTAATACAACTATATTCATAAACCAGAAATTTCATAAGTTCCATTTGGAACCTTTGACATTAGATATTGTGGACCCATGTGAGTATGGGCTAAAGGTCTAGGTCACCGGTGTGCTAAATTTGTTCTTTGTTTCCAAGCAGAAAGAAAATGTGAAAGTTGGTTTTATGGCAACAGTTTAAACTTTATTATCAGTCATCATTACAAGTCAAGGTCTGATCCTGCAGGATGCTGTATACCTTTCTGTGGAGATTTTCAGGAGGAATTCCAAGTTGTGCATCATTAGGCTGCTTTATTGCTTTGAGTCCAGGATGATTCAGTGGACTGATGAATTCTGCGTGTAGGTTTAACTGTGTGTTACGTTTCATTTTCTACCAAATACAGTGAAAGTGTGCAGCCTAGGCCCTGTAGTGTAAATACTTATAAGCAGCTCTAACTTGCATAGACAGTCTAAGTACGTATGAATAAAGACTACTTACCTGAGTAATGCCTTACAGTATCAGGCTGCTACATTTTATAACTTTGTTTTGTTCTGGGCAGACTAACGATATGCAAGAAGCATAGAAATAGATATTAAATTTGAATTTTTATGATTGCTTTGATCAAAGTGCAGAGTAATGGGGATACTTCTTCCTAGCAAACTTAATTAAATTATAACAGGGATGAGTTCAGTGTAGGCTACGTAAGCTATTTACAGTATTTTTAGGGTATGCACCTCTTAGGCAGTTTGTTCCTAGTTCTCATTAAGTTGCCCCTTTTTTCCCCAGCTTCCTTTGTGATTGAAAATTTTAGAATTGTATATCTAAATAGAAACGACTTCACAGAAAATGGAGAGAAGGGTTTTTTTCAAAGTAAAACTAATTCTTCTAAATGCATACTGCATCTGAGTTGCTTTTAGATTGTAGCTTGTATTAACCTCATATTATGGTTGTACCTTTTTTGTAATTGATGTTAAAATTATAATCCTTACTATTGGACTAGTATAGCAGTATAACTTGCAGTCCTTACACCCATAAACTTGTAGTGAATTAGGCCTGAATCTGATTTCCGTAGCCTCTTACTAAAGTTTTACCAAATACAAAAAAGGTAAATAAAAAAAGTACAAGTGACTTTTTATATTTGATAAAACCTTTATCCAGTTGTTGTCATATCAAACTCCACATTAACTTCCCAGTTGAAGATACCAGAATACACTATTCCTGGTTTTCCTTATTGTCCCCCTCTTTTTTTTTTTTATAAAGTACAAAAACGGCTTTCTTTTAATGTCCTTTGCAATGCACTACAGGTGCTGTTGAAAGGAAAAAATCTGCTCTTGGTTGCAGGCAGTTTTAGGGCTGGCTTCCTAAATGCATGGCATGATAGATGAAAATGATTAAACTAAGCCTTGCGTTTTCTTAATGAAAATAAGGCTATTTGCTGTAAATACTTCTTGGCTTATTAAGTGTAGTTGGAAAACATTTACAAGTGATTTGCTCCTTTGCCGAGGATTCTGGGGGTGATGTTCACCAGAAAAAGACACCCTGATTCGAATTCAGTGATTGCATGGCTTGAATATATCAGTGATATTTGTTCCTTTGCAAAAGGGCAGGTACAACTTATTTCCCTTTTTATTGGTTCCAAGAAGTCCGTTTGGGGCATACTAGCTGTGATATTAGGTTTCTCAGTTAAGTGGCCTTCAGATTTACATGTTTAGAGGGATATACAACAAGCTCTTTCATCCCCAGCCATCCATTTGGTGTTTAGCTTTTAAGCTTATGCTTAGTAAGTTTATTTTTTGTGTTATCTCATGGTTTTGTGTTGTAATGTGTTTGCTTAATTTGTTTCCACTTAAGAAAAAGGTTATGCGTTTTTGAACAAGTGGAAAGAAGTTCAGACTAATGCACATATTCTGAACTGTTAAAAATACTGTAGTGAAAGTTTGTTTAGGAGAGTTATTTTTGAATAGCCAAAGTAGGAACATATTTTTAAATCTCTAAAAATATTAATCTTAAAAATATGTAACAGTTTTACTTTAGTGAGCCAAATCCATTGGTGGTGTAGCCTTTTTGACTTAAACGAAGTTATGTCATGCTGACTCCACTGTGTTTTCTCCCATTTGCACCTTTGGTTCATGTTATATATATGTATAGAGCTTTGCCAGAGGGAGAAGTGCAGGTAGGAGAATTGCGTGATAGGGCTTCTTAGGAAGGATTTTGAAATGTGGCTTTATTTATTTATTTATTTTGTAAAGTCAGTTACCTTAAAAACCCTTTCCTCACTTGTAAGTAGCTTTCACTTCCTTTAGCCCTTTTCAGGAAGCTCACATCCTTGAAGAGATGTCTATAGTGTGTATTAACATCATTCCAATATACCTTTTTAAGGCACCAACCCAGGAAATGCTGGATGCGTGGTGAGGAAAATTATTCACGAGTAAAATTACACCGTGCCTAAATATTTTCAGACTATGCACACAAATAAATGTAGGCAGGTTGCAGAAAAGGGTGGTTTTGGGGGCGGGGTTTAAAGAAGAAAAACAATGTACTAATACACCTTGAAAAAACTATCACTTATTCAGGAAAGTTTGGAGCCTTTAGAGCAACTATTAATTCTTTTATTCTCAGCTGACCACAATCTGGCCTCCTCTATCACACAGAACTGTCAGTAGGAGTTCTGCCCAGGAATCAAGTGTAGACTAGTTTCCAGTTAGTACAGAGCTGCCACATGAGAGTGCTTTTGCTGCCTCCTGTATAACGCAGATGTTAAAGAAACACAAAGGCATGCACAGTGTTAATTGAAATTGCATTTTGCAGTCCTTGGAGGACCTGGGAG